TGTTTTGAAGTCTATTGTCTGATACTAGTATTGCAGCAGCTGCTTTTTTCTCACTGTTGTTTGCATGAAATATCTTTTTCCATCCCTTGAGTTTTAGTCTGTGCATGTCCTTGGGTTTGAGGTGAGTCTCTTGTAAGCAGCTTATAGATGGGTCTTGCTTTTTTATCCATTCTATTACTCTGTGTCTTTTGATTGGTGCATTATGTCCATTTACATTTAGGGTGATTATCGATAGGTATGTACTTATTGCCATTGCATTATTGAGCTGTTATATACACTGTCTGGAGATTCTTTTGTTCTCTCCCTTCTTATTCCTCCTCCTCCATTCTTCATATGTTGTGTGTTTTGTTCTGCGCTCTTTTTAGGAGTGCTCCCATCTAGAGCAGTCCCTGTAAGATGCCCTGTAGAGGTGGTTTGTGGGAGGCAAATTCCCTCACCTTTTACTTGTCTGGGAATTGTTTAATCCCTCCTTCATATTTAAATGATAATCATGCTGGATACAGTATTCTTGTTTCAAGGCCCTTCTGTTTCATTGCATTAAGTATATCATGCCATTCTCTTCTGGCCTGTAAGGTTTCTGTTGAGAAGTCTGATGATAGCCTGATGGGTTTTCCTTTGTAGGTGACCTTTTTTTTCTCTCGGTCTGCCTTTAATACTCTGTTCTTGTCTTTGATCTTTGCCATTTTAATTATTATGTGTCTTGGTGTTGCCCTCCTTGGGTCCCTTGTCATGGGAGTTCTGTGTGTTTCTGTGGTGTGAGAGGCCATTTCCTCCCCTAGTTTGGGGAAGTTTTCAGCAATTATTTCTTCAAAGACACTTTCTGTCCCTTTTTCTCTCTCTTCCTCTGGTATTCCTATGATGCGAATATTGTTCCTTTTGGATTGGTCGCACAGTTCTCTTAATATTCTTTCATTCATTCCTGGAGATCCTTTTATCTCTCTCTGCATGAGCTTCTCTGCGTTCCTGTTCTCCGTTTTCTAGTCCATTAATGGTCTCTTGCATGTCGTCCATTCTGCTTTGAAGTCCTTCCAGAGATTGTTTTATTTCTGTATTCTCCTTCCTCAGTTCTTGCATATTTCTCTGCAAGTCCATCAGCATGGTTATGACTTTTGTTTTGAATTCTTTTTCAGGAAGGTTGGTTAAATCTACCTCCCCAGATTCCTTCTCAGGAGAGGATGTCGAAGGTGTCTGAGTTAGTCTTGTCTGGATCAAATTTTTTTGCCTTTTCATGTTGATAGGTGCAGTGGTATGCTATAGATTCGTCTGTCAGCTGTGAGAGTCAAGACCTTTTCCACTTGCTCCTGGCCTTTCTTTACTGGGACAAAGGTGACCCCTAGCGGCTTTTGTTGGGCCATTGCACGTAGACTGGGTCTGTTTCTTGCCCAGCCCCTGTGGAGGAAGCTCCCTTTCTGTTGGTGTGGCCAGCCTCAGGCAGCTGCTCTGCTATGGCGGGAAGCCCGTTCGTGAGGCACTGGGTTCTTGCAGGTGTGGATGTGGTCTGGCTGTTGTCCTGTGTCTTCTGATCTCTGTTTTAGGATTAGTTGTATTTGTTGTATTTTCAAAAATATATGTTTTTGGGATGAGATTCCCACTGTCCTACTCACGCCGCCATCTTGGCTCCACCTCTGGTCAGCTTTTTAAGATGTGCATTCTCATTTAGTTTTTATAACAGCTTCATGAGGTGATTCTGGTATTATCTCCATTTTGCTGATAAAGAAACTAAGGCACAGAGGAATTAAATAATTTGCCTAAGATTACACACCTATTCACTCAAACAGTATACCACTGGGGCTTTCAATCAGTTGCAGTACTGGGTTAATGGTGACAAACTGGGCCGACAGTGAGTGAGTGGAGGTGGAATAAGTCCAGGTACAGCAGTGAGCATTTGTAAATGCATGATTAATGTACAGACTGTAAGCTGCAGGTGTTCTGGGAAGAGGCAACAGGACTGTCTGCAGACTCTGTCCGTGATAAACATATTGGCCAAGCCCCTGGAGCTGATGATAGGCCCAGGCACTGGATAGAGATGGTACTGGGAAGTGACTGGAAAATCCATGTCTGAGAGCATTTTTTTCCCCCAGAATCATGGTAGCTTCAATTGTTTATCTTATTTATATTTTTGAACTTACTTTTGAAAATTTCTTCTAACGAATGTTTCTCTAAAGTGCTAAATGGTTCTTAGGGCCTTTGTGCATTGATGCAGAGTGTTGGGCAGGGCTGAGTTGCCCAAGGACGTGGGTGCAGGCCGCCTGGTCTCCCAGCGCCTTGGGAGCACAGAGGCTTTTAGTGAGATGGGCCATCAGCTGGTTCTGCATGACCAGGGCTGTTGTAAGAGTACGTGTAAACCCGGTTCACCTACAGGGCTGTCTTCATGTTTTCAGACGCACTATTCCATCCTGCTTAGTTGAGCCTTTCTTTTACACAGGTTTGTCAAAATCTTTGTTGCCTGTGGTCCTGTAGGCTGTGAAAATGGACACAGATAGCGAAGCCCAAAGCTTTAACAGTTCCCATTGTGCAAGCATAGTAATGAAAACTGAGCTGTTGTATCATGCTCCTTCTTTCTCTTATTTTCACATGGACAGCAGATTTGCAGAGTGGACCTTGTCGTGTCTGCTGGTGGGTGTGTGCTGGGGGCAGGCCTGCAGCCTCCTGTCACTCTCAGGCCTGACAGACCTGGAAACGCAGCCTGTGGAAGTTACATGCTATTACCAAAAGCAGTGGTTTCCAAATTTGGTTTTTAAAGAAATTTTTAGGCAAAACTCAAGTGTCACAAAACAGATAAAAGGAAAGCTGTTACTGGCGAGGTATGGTGGTCCCTTTCAAGGCCCAGCTGCCTGAGACACTATGCAGTGAATGCCACTGTTTCAATGATTCTGTGCATGTAAAGGCCTGGGAGCAACCAGCCACTCTTTTATAGGTTTATAGGTTATCTGGTTAGACTTTTCTATGTGTCACCTCTATTTTCCAATATAAAGTTTGTGAAACTCTTCATTAATGAAGTTGCATGTGGAAATTTTAAATTAGTCTCTAGGACACACTGAATGTTTGTCCTACCCTTGGCCTTCTTTCCTGTCAACCACAGTGTAGTGATGGTTTAAGCAGAGTATTCAGCCTTTGCTCAGAAACAAGATGTTCACAGAAATTTAAGTCACTTGCTTAAGTGTGGTTCATTTGAAAACTCAAGAAATGAAAATCTAGATGTTTATTTAAGTTAATTAAATAAAATGTGGTTCATAGCCTTTATTTCATGTGGACTATTGAAACAAAAATGATTATTGTACTCAAGAAAAACAAAGTATTACTCATGAATAATCAGTAGCATCTCTTACATTTAGCACTGCCTTCTTTTTCTTGAAATAGAGTTGAATCAAATATATATTTTTGTTTTATTTTGAATGACACTCATACATGTAGAAAGTAAAGTCCATATTCTCTTATTTTCCCCTCCAGGGACCCAGATGGAAGGATGCTCTTAGATATTTTTGATGAAAACCTTCACCCTCTTTCGGTAATCTTGTGTTTCATGATATTGTTTAATTATTTCTCTTTTGCTCCTACTGAGAGGCCAGTCATCTGAAAATATTTCCTTCCCCAGAAATCCGAAGTGCCACCAGATTATGACAAACACAACCCAGAGCAGAAGCAGATTTACCGGTTTGTTCGGACGCTGTTCAGTGCTGCTCAGCTGACAGCTGAATGTGCCATCGTCACCCTGGTGAGTCAGAAGTGGGGTGGGAGCCGGGAATGTCACCAGGCACCCTGGGAAACGACAGTCCCCTAGAAGGCTGTCTATTTTTTTTCTGGGATATAGAGTATGGATCTCCCTAAAGGAGTTGTGAAGTCTATTCCACAGTCCTCACCTAACGTCAGTTGTAAGATCACACTCAAAACCAGTAAATGTTGAACCTTTAAACACTGGAAGGACATTGCTCTAAAGGGGGATAAGAAGCGCCAGGCCCCCCTTATTTAGTGTCCAGGTTTCCTGCTTCCAACTCCCTACAAAGGTTTCAATAGCATTAATAAGGTCCGATGAACACACACATTTCTATATGAATACTGGGGGAAAAAAGGAAAGTATCGCTGCCTTCTTTTTTGTGATTTCTATGTAAATAATGTATCTGTAAGGTATTCAGACACAACATGGAGGTAATCTGCACTTTAAGACTCAGGTAAGGTAAAAATCTATAATCTTGTATTTTTAAAACTTTATGGACTATTTTAGGTCAAATTTCACTTGGGAAGTAGATTTGACAGTGGAACCCATTATCGCTGACCTGTTACATTGTGTGCAACTCCGGGAAGAAGTGAGTGCTGCCTGTGAGTGACTGTCCCAAGAGAGAGCAGAAAGTGGTTGCCCGTGGCTGCTGAGAAGAGGTGATTGCCTCGGGGCCCTTGCCGTGGCCTCCGCACTAAGGCCTGTGCTCTCCCACTCTTGCAGCAGTGCACCGGTCTGCTCACTGGTCCATCCATTTTTCATTCCTTCTCTTGTTGAACTTGCCTTGGCCTTTAATGGGTGAAACAGGCATTCAGGTAATCATTAGGTGATTCAAATGATGATAGATTCTTATGTCATGCTGAGAGGCATGTTTATTGCTCAGCTTTATTCCCCAGCTTACAAAAACATACAACAGGATTGAAATTCTGTGTAGAGAAGTTGGGAAAAAGAAAGAATCATGGATGAGATTAGTATGGAAGTTCACGCCCTGAAGGAAGATGTATTTTGAGTCTTCAGCAGAGGCATGTGGTGGGGATTTTTTTACCTTTAATTCCTAAGAAAAATTGTGACCTGAGTGTGATCTGGTAGTGTTATACTGTTTCCATTTATCAGCATGAAGAGGTTGGTGTCCTGCAGAGGATGCTGACATTTCAATGCCCCATCCCTGCACAGAGGCTGAGATAACATCTGCCTGCCTCCCCCTGTCTCTGGGGCTTACAGGAGGACTGGGCCATTCACGGCTCTGAGGTACTCTTGCAGGGATGCAGACTTGTCAGGATTGTAAGTACTGAGATCTTCATGTCCTATTAAATAAACTGGGGTTTAGATTTGCTTGTATCAGGGTATTGTTACAGCCTAAAGATGAGCAGCTTTGGGGCCCCGCCCACTGGGCCAGCACTGCAGACAGAGTCCCTGGCTGCTGCTACTCCTGTTGACTGTGAGTCGACCTGTATGCTTGTGGGCCCAGGCAGACAGATGCATTGGCTCGGAGTCAGACCCTCCTGTGACAACCCCTCCCATCTCTTGTGTCCCCTAGAATTAGAAGCAGCCATTCAGAACAGGCCTGGTCTAGTGGTGACAGATGCATTCATCTCCACTTTTCTGGGCATTCTCTTGGCATCTTGGCTTCCTGCTTGGCGGTGGGGGTGGGGAGGACAGCAGTGAGGTTTGGCCCCGCTGCCCACAAGGGACCAGACTGCAGCCTGCCTGCACAGGAGAGCTTCCAGGACCCCCAAGCCCCAGGACCTGGTTAACCCAAGGAAGACGTTTCACAGCTTAGTTAACTTTGTTGTAAAAGAGTGGTAGCATCTTAATACCACTAAGCATTTTGCTTTAGCCTTGCAGGACATGCTAGAAGCTCTCCTGCTGATTACTGATATAAAAGAAAGTTTAAAAAGCCAGTGAGGTCATGTAGTCATGAGGTTTTTAAAGAAATTTTTAAAATTCCTGTAAAGTGACCTGTAGGTCACTTCCTGCTTTGCTTTTCTCCAGGGTGCTCATCCCAGTTACCATTTTTGAGGTTTCACTCATTTTTCTTTTCTGTAATATGAGCTCCACAATTAAGTTCTTTATTTTTTTATCTACTTGTCTTTTTTGTTCACTGTAATCTGGCCTGCATTTGGTCACAGCCTGGTACATAATAAGTGTTCAATAAATAGTTATTTAATAACTATCTACTGGCTGAAGTGAATGAAGGGGGCTGATGTGCCTCCCACTTTGCCTGAAACAGAAACATTCAGTAGCTATTTGCCATAGGCTCTCTGGGAGGGTGGCAGAATCTAGCTTTGGGGACCTTGCTCAGCCAAGCCCCTGACTGAATGTTGCCTGCAAAGTTGCTCGGTGGCAGGCGGGGAGCGAGGGAGTAGGGAGGGGTGGAGAGGAGTCGGGCCTGAAGGAAAGGGGAGTGGAGAAGTGGAGATGACAAAATGAGGACTAATCAAACAAGAGGAGTTGTATTACTTGGGTGTTAATTCCTTATTTTGTCATAGTTTATTGAGATAACGCTTTATATCCCATAAAGTCACCCATTTAAAGTGAGCCTTTTTGTGGTTTTAGTATATAGTGCAACCATCCCCAAAACCACTTGTAGGCTGTTTCCATCACTCCAGAAAGAAAGAAACCCCTTACCTTTCAGCAGCCACTTCCCACCCCAAACCCCACCCTAGGCAACCACAAATCTTTATTCTCTGAAATCTGTTTTCTCTCTGTGTTTCAGATAAATGGATTAATATAATATGTCGTATTTGTGACTGCCTTCTGTTCACTTACTGTAATGTTTTCGAAGTTCATCTATGTTGTAACATGTAATGTGTATTTCACTCTTTTTTTATTGCCCAACAATAGTCCATTGTATGGCTAGGCCACATTTTGTTTATCCATCAGTTTATGGACATTTGAGTTCTTTCTGCTTTTTAGCTACTACAAATAAGGCTGCTTTGAACATTGTGTACACATCTTTGGGCATATATTTTCGTTTCTCTTGGTGTATACCCGGGAGGGGATTTGTTGGGTTGTGTGGTAACTCTGTGGTTAACTTCTTGAGGAACAGCCTGTTTGCCAGCGTGGCTGTACCATTTCACATTTCCATTGGCAATCTTTTGAGGCTTCTAAGTTTCTCCACATCACAACTTTGTCAATACTTGTTATTGTCTGTGTTTTTTATTGTAGCCATTCTAGTGGGTGTGAAGTGTTATCTCATTGTATTTTTGATTTGCATTTGCCTAATGATTAGTGGTGTTGAGCATCATTTCATGTGTTTATTGACCATCTATGTATCTTCGTTGTAGAAATGTCTATTCAAGTTCTTTGCCCTTTAAATAGGGTTGTCTTTTTTATTGTTGTATTGTAAGGGTTCTTTATATGTTCTGGGTACAAGTCTGTGTTGAATATATGATTCACAAGTATTTTCTCCTAGTCTCTGTTGTTTCACTTTCTTTAATGGCATCATTGGCAAAATAGGTTTTCATTTTCATGAAGCCCAATATATTTTTTCTTTTATCAATTATGCTTTTGGTGTTATAGCTAAGACACCACTGAATAACTCAAGGTCATGTGATTTATTCTTATGCTTTCGTTTAGTAGTTACATAATTTTAGCTCTTACATTTAGGTCTGTGACCCATTTTGAGCTAATATTTGTGAGGTAGGGGTCCAAATGTATTCTCCTGCATGGGTATATCTGGTTGTCCCAGCCCCATAGGTATGACTCCCCCAAATTTGTTCTTCTCTTTCAAGATTATTTTGGCTGTTATGTGACCCTTGCAATGAATTTTAAAATTAGCTTGTTAGTTTCCGCAAAACAAAGAAACAAAGCCCGCTGGGATTTTGCTGGTGGTCAGGCACTGAGTGTGTAGATTAGTTTGGTGAGTACTGTGCTCTTAACAATACCAAGTTTTCCAGTCCATGAACGTGTTTTTCTTCAGTTTCTTTCAACAGTTTTTATAGTTTTCAGTTTACAAGTCTTATGCTTCTTTTGTTAATTTTTTCTAGGGTTTTTATTCAGTGTCATACTGTAAGTGACATTATTTTCTTAGTTTCATTTTCAGATTGTTTATGGCTAATGTATAGGAATTGATTTATTTTTATAGATTGATCTTGTGTCCTTCCACATCACTGAACTCATTCTAGTTCTAATAGTTTATTATTAGATTTCTTAAGATTTTTACATATGCAAGGTAATGCTATTTGAAAAAGAGTTTTACTTCTTCCTTTATAATCTGGATGCTTTTTCTGTTTTTCTGGACCTGTTGCCTTGGCTAGAACCTCCAGCACAGGGCAGAATAGAAGTGCTAAGAGCACATCCTCATCTTGTCCTTGATCTTAGGGGAAAGCTTTCAGCCTCTCTCCATTAGTAGGATGGTAGCTGTGGGTGCTTCACAGATGCCGTTTGTCAAATTGAGGAGGTTCTCAAGTTCTCTTCTGGTCCTAATTTGTGGAAGGGTTTTCTTTTTTATCTTGAAAGAGTATTGGATTCTATCAAATGCTTTTTCTACATCCACTGAGATTGATATGTGGTTTTGTCCTTTAGTCTGTTGACATATTAAAGCAGCCTTCCATTCCTGGGATAAATTATCCCATATGGTCATTGCATATAATTAGGTTCATGTATTGCTGGAGTTGATTTGCTAGTATTTTGTTGAGAATTTTTGCATCTGTATTTAAAAGGGATATTGTTCTTTGACTTTCTTGTTGTATCCTTGGTTTTGGGATCAGCATACCAGTGGCCTCATAGAATGCATCGGGGAAGTGTTCCTTCCACTTCAGTTTTTCTGAAGCATTTGGGAAGGATTGGTATTAATTCTTATTTAAATGTTTGTTAGAATTTACTGAAGCCATCTTGGCCAGGACTTTTCTTTGTTGTAAGTCACATTAGCAATTCTATCTCTCTGCTTGTTACAGGTCTGTACCAATTACCCATTTCTTCTTGAGTTTACAGTGTCTTCTTAGGAGTTTGTCTGTCTCCTTTGAGCTGCCCAGTTTGTTGGCATATAGTTGTTCACA